CAACGTCCAAAATGCTTATTACGTTGAAATCATTGACACGGTGATGTCTTTTAGCTTCCATTGCATAGCGTAAAGAAGAGGCAAAAATGTATACCAGTCCAATTTCCAACTCGTTATGTAAATGCATTGTCGCACGATCCTAAATATAAATACTATTATTTGGAGCAAGTGTCTATAAAGTGAATTTCTTTGTTTGTTTGTTGGATATTAATATAGCGCACACATCCACGCACTAGTGCATGCTGATGGCGCTGTGCCAGCAGATCACGACCCATGGCACTTTGCTATAGTATGTACAGCACCAAGCAGAGATAGATTTGGGTTCAATTGTTGAACACTACAGCTCGTAGTTCTATATTTTTTATGTACCGGTAGGTCAATATTTTATATTGAGCAGTTTGTTCAAATGGCAAATACACACATGGGGGTCTTCTGATGGATCAACACTTGTATAATGACTGTGTTTCTCTTTTCAAAGGCCGAGAAAGGAGGACTGGCATGCGTGCAGAAACAGACAGAGGCGTGTACAATAGGTAGGCTTAATACATTATGATGAAGGGCCGGGGTTAGCCGAGTGGTTAAAGTGTTCGATCGTTCCCCGCTGTGATATTGCTGGAATAATGTTCAAAGAGGCGTAAAACCAAAGCTCACTCACTCACATTATATGCTCTTGGATCTACTGATGGGAGTCAACCGACAAAAAGGTTAGTTGAACATATATCTACTGTCAGGTAGTTCTTAATCATTCTTGTCTTCTTTTTCAGAAGACACCCCTCCCCTGATGCATTCATAGGGGCTCATTTGTCTGGACTGCTCCGGGTGAACGAGAAGAAGGGTTTGTGTTGTTTTGAAATTTGATTGCTTTTTCTAATAGCACCATTTACTGTTACTGCGTCGATTCAGGGGCACATATGACTTGCCTGTCCATGTGTTTGGGCCGAGTGAGGAAACACCTGATGTCATCTCCATATGTTAGACAGCATGAACACACGCTCGTGATAAAGTCTGAATCGTACAATTGAGCTTTATTAATGTTATGGAAATTGTTTTGACGCTTTAGACCATACACATGGAAAAACGGACCTCAACATCCCATATTTTGCGTAGTATCAATATGATACCATTAACCATAGCAAAGGAAGTTATCCAAACTTTACTTGACTTACTATCCGGATGAACAGACCCTCAAGGAATAATTGAATTGCAAATTGCAAATCTACAAGCAAAGAGAATAAAAAAACTGTTTATTCGTGGAAACAAACCTGGCAAAAATTGACCCATTTTGTAGTGCTCATAACTATGGTAGTCATTCGTCACCACTCGCCCCTTTCCGTAACCTCGGTATTCAGCTTGTCCCGGGATAACACGAGTGGGTCACGAATGCTATGGTAGTATGACGTGTGGCCATTTCTAAGATTCTGGCATACAATCCTCAAGAAATCACACAAGTATCAATGACCGGGGACAATGTCAATATCTGCTCAAACCTCCACAATAACACCCCTGACCCTTCTCGCATCCCCTTGGCGTATTCTACGACACTACGTTCCCCTAACTTGCTCTCTGGTATTGCGTTCTGGACTCCTGTAGGGTCAACGTAGAGTTGCTTCCGCCCCTTCACGTACGAAATCACCAACGGTAAATGAACGATGTGGCCTAGCATTGTCGTCCATGAAGACTGGCCTTGAGCTTAGAGGATGGTCATCGAAATATGGTACAACAACCTTGTCTGGGATGTCAGTGATGTACCGTTGTCCATGATTTTATTTAATCTTCACAAGGTCAGGTTTACAGTAACTAGAGAGGCGTCCCAACACCAGCAATGGACCCCCGCCAAACGGTACCTACTGCAAAATATTCTGTTGTGCATATGCAGGCTATTTTGGACCGTTATTTTAGACAAACGACGATGCGGAAGCTACTTCCTGACCGGACAATGTCTTGTGATTCTGAGAAGAGCTGTATCCTCCCTAGGAGCTGTCACTCATGGTCACCCTCAACGCTAACGGTCCTTAACGTCATTAGTTTGCTAGTGTTTTGTGGCCAACAAGCTCTCTTGCAATTGCCTTCAGAGTCTATACAAGTTGTATTCTACACGCATTGAAACACGCGATGCATGAAGGAAACACTATACCAGAAGATGATAAACCTGACCGTAAGCGTTTTCTCGATTATTATGTACTAAGTATGTATTTAAATATTCATGATTGATCCCAGTCTTGATAAAGATCAAACATTCCTTACAATGATGTAAACCCAAACTTTATCACTCATTCATTGCTTGAGGGTCGTATAGTGATCCTAAACGTGATAAGAAACGTTGAATTAGTAGCCAAACATCGTACGTTTTATTGTTTGATCGGCAATCTCGAAGCTGGTGAGTCAAGAATGAAATTTACAACTTTATGAATGACGACTTTTTGTTTATTGCATAAAGCGACATTTCGATGTAGATTCTTACATCGTTATCAAGTTAATAATCACTTAAGAGTCACATTCAGCTTGATAACGATGTAAGAATCTACATCGAAACCTCGCTCTGTGCAGTAAGCAAGAAGTGGTCAGCCATAAAGCTGTATGTTTCATGCTGTACATGTTAAACTGTAATATCATGAAGTAAATATTTTCGTATCACTCAGAAAGGCAACACCTTAAAGAATGAACACTGTTACCAAAGTAACAAAAGAAAGGTACATTTTCCCAACGAAATTATCCCAAGAACACAGGAATATTATGTTTGGTTCCATTATCAACAGGAATACGTGTCAATGTTGAAGTTCTCTTCAATTTGGGTCTGAAAGAATTTTCAATGGGCAGCTCAAGGTTCAGGAGGGTATTAGATCTGGACAGTGTTTTCTGTTTCACGACGGTAGCCTTACGTTCAAATGTAGGACTCGTTCTTGTATATGGTGTTCCATTTTCCTCTAAATCCCTGGATATAGATGTAATGTCTTCTGATTGGGCCTTCTTTGCATTGTAAGTTGATCTTAAGGCCATTAGAACCGGAGATAATGGGCGTATACTCTTGAACCCGCGATGCTTCTCTGAAAGTTCCACATCAAGTTCATACAGGCTTTCGTCAATTATATTAGGGGAAACATCAATGATGCTTATGCTCTTGGAATTAGTCGAATGACCAATATCATATACACTGTCTGGTGGAGGTTTTGATATGCGGAATCTCTCTCTGCTAAACGTCTGAATCCGGTCTTTGGAGGACTTGGTGTCATAAGTGTTTCTTTCTTTCTTCTTCATGGCAAGGGTGTCTTTCAGGAAAGGATATCACCTGTCGCGGACGGTCTGGCAGGTGTTTTAACAGCTCGCATGATGTGGATTGCCTCTGTAACTGGACGCTTTGAGGGGATCTTTTCTTTTGTGTTCTTATCATATCAAAACTTGTATTTCTCCTTTTCAGAATAGCCTTTTGTAAACATTTCATCTTCCGCAGTCGATCAGGTATGCCATGGACCTCTGTTATGGTAGCACTGTCACGCCTAAGAGGCTTATTATCCGATGAAGTGTCATCAAGCTGTGATTCAGTGTCAACCTTGGTTTTCATAATCACACCAGTTGCCTGACCAAACTCTCCTATGTTCTCATCAAATTCTTCTGATGTCTGAATTTGTTTATCCTTCATCTTCACAACTTGACTTTCATTAGGATGACATACTCGCGTTGCATCAGCGTCAGTACTTTCAGTGCTCATACTACTTACTGGTTCCTTTATCTTCGATTCACCAGAGGAGGTAGAGGATTCCAGAGGAGGTAGAGGATTCATGCTGAACACTATGGGCCTTATGCGACCATAATATGGACTCTTTTCACTGTAGCGTTGGCGGACATTCCCTTTCACTGAACAATGCTCTCCAATTTGTATTGTGTGTTCTTTAACCTCTTTTTCAGGAACACCTTGAGTTGGTAACATGGGACAATTGTCTTCTTTCCCCATATTTTGGAAATCATTTTCGACAATAGGTTCCTGTTTAATTAAGGCCATAAACTCTTCAGAACACCCTCCAACAAATATGTTTATTTCAATACTAACCGATTTATTCTTCTCATCCAAATCTGGTTCATTGTCTTTCATATCTTCTCTTTCTTTGAATCGGTTTTCTGTTGTAGTGTCATCTGTGCCTGTCCTGTGCACTGGTGGATTGTACATATCTTTCTTAATATCGCCCTTAACATGGCAATGGTTGTCGGGTTTAACTTGCGTTTCACCTTCTTGTAAATGTCTATTGGGTTCAATACTTAGTGTCTCCATTGGGACATCACCAGAGCCTCTCATACAAACCCCCTCGACATCCTTTACATTAATATCTTCAGTGCCAACGTCTGTTTGCTTCTCGTCCTGTGTCTTAGCGTCGTCGGCGCTTTCATTTGTTTCTTCATGGTCATTCTCAGTGTCATTAGCGCCTTCGTCTGTCATCCCCTCATGGTCAGCTGTACCCACAAGGTCCTTCATGAGTGCAACAACAGACAACTGTTTAGCTATCATGCCACCATACGTGAACAGACTCCTCTTCTTGTGATTGGGTGGGGGCTGGTAGATGACAGACACCGGCGATTCTGGTTCTGTGTTATCTGTAGCTGCATGTTCTTCACAATGTTTTTCACTAATCGTCTCCGGGTCCTCCACACCAAGAATGAATTTCCTAAAATCTTGAAACATATTAGGCTTAGTATTTAACCATTGGACCAAATGTGAGCTACGAATTTTTTTCAGGATATGGCTCGAGTGGAGTGCCACTATCACCTAGATGCGTCTCTTTCAACATCTGCCGTTTTAGCATTCACAAAAGTTACAGTTCCCAATTAATAATTCAGAACCCTTGTATAAACAACATTTTGAAGTAAGTAATTTAATTTCCTAGTATTTGAAATGGAAATGGTATCGTATCAGAACAGAAAAGTATTGTCTCAGAGACTTTTATTAAAACATTTTCAAAAGGATATTACCTTCAAATGTGATTCGGCCGTCTCCATCACTGTCAACCATCTTAAGCATGTAGGAGTTCATCATCACTTATCATCTCTCCTATGGCCAACATCAACTGGTATATGTCAGCAGCGGTAATGACTCCATCGCCGTCAACATCTACGATACGGTAGGCATCTTCTATCGCCTTCTCTACTTCCTCGTCCTTTGTCAAGACGCTTTTGAGGACAACCTTTTCGAAATCGTCCGTTTCAATATCTCCTCCAGCTGAAGAAAGACCATGCAGCATATATAGATATGTTTTCACGAAGTGTTGTTTATACAAATATTATTATAGAAAGTGCGTTTACTATTGTACATTACCACTGACGCACACGGGTAAGCTGCGAGTACTGTGTACATGGTTCTGCATCTAATCACATACTTGTAGACACATCTACGATTAAACTAACACAATTGTAAACTTAATACTAGGTCATTTATGCCTGAAGACACATGCTTGCAAACTTAATGCTGGTTCATCCATTCTTTAAGACACACACTTGTAAACTTATGCCGGAAGACTCCGACGGGTATGAATGAAGTGGGGATATCTACGCCTGAAGACTCCCACGGATAGGAATCAAGTGGGGATATCGACCCTTGAAGACTCCCATGGGTAGGAATCAAGCAGGGATATCTACTCCTGAAGACTCCCACGGATAGGAATCAAACAGGGATATCTACTCCTGAAGACTCCCACGGATAGGAATCAAGCAGGGATATCTACGTCCGAAGACTCCCACGGGTAGGAATCAAGCAGGGATATCTACGTCCGAAGAGTCCCACGGATAGGAATCAAGCAGGGATATCTACCCTTGAAGACTCACATGGGTAGGAATCGAGCAGGGATATCTTCTCCTGAAGACTCCCACGGATAGGAATCAAGCAGGGATATCTACTCCTGAAGACTCCCATGGGTAGGAATCAAGCAGGGATATCTACTCCTGAAGACTCCCACGGATAGGAATCAAGCAGGGATATCTACGTCCGAAGACTCCCACCGGTAGGAATCAAGTGGGGATATCTACTCCCGAAGACACCCAAGGGTAGGAATCAAGCAGGGATATCTACGTCCGACGACTCCCACGGGTAGGAATCAAGCAGGGATATCTACGTCCGACGACTCCCACGGATAGGAATCAAGCAGGGATATCTACGTCCGACGACTCCCACGGGTAGGAGTCAAGCAGGGATATCTACGTCCGACGACTCCCACGGATAGGAATCAAGCAGGGATATCTACGTCCGACGACTCCCACGGATAGGAATCAAGCAGGGATATCTACGTCCGACGACTCCCACGGGTAGGAGTCAAGCAGGGATATCTACGTCCGACGACTCCCACGGATAGGAATCAAGCAGGGATATCTACGTCCGACGACTCCCACGGGTAGGAATCAAGCAGGGATATCTACGTCCGACGACTCCCACGGGTAGGAATCAAGTGGCGATATCTGCACATGTCAGGATATCTTAATGCACAACGGACTGTCACTTGGACATAGGCACCTCCAACTACAAGTCACTACGTGTTACACCTTACTATCAATGAGAGCATTCCTGATAAGGTCGAGGACGTCTTCGTCATAGGTGTTGATGTTGAGGATACTGAGGAGATGGTTGATGTTGTCGACCGTGATACGGACTTGGTCGTTGCTTACTGCTAGACACAGCCCATCCTTCACTTCTGAAATACACACATATACGCTTCAAAACGAGCTCTCAGTAATTATTTGTAAATACTTCTAACAGCATGCTGACGGTTTATTTGCTCACTGAAGTTTATGCCTTTTTATTTTTATAATTTGGATACCTCTCCAGCAAAGCAGATAACATCCACTTACTCTTTATAATATGCTGTCTGTATAATTCGTCAGGGTCTAGTTCAGGTTCCTGAAATACATAGAAATTAACAGATATGAGAAGACTAAGGCTCTATGGTAAAATAATATACAATGTCATTTATAAAGGGTTCAGAACAAAAACTTCAGGATAGATTGGGGGTTTTAAAATCGAAATTTCTTGGTACTTGGTAATAATTTAATAGTCCTTTTTCGGGTTTTTTAAAACAATGTAATTCCGAAAAAAACAACCGACAAACAATAGAAATGTCGAGTTTAAGAAAGAACTTTAAATCACAAGAAAATAGTTGAAATATACAACGAGTATTTCGTCACAAAATATATGCAGGATACCATTTGTGACATTTTAAAATGAAACTGGCGTTGAGCTGTTCAGGGATATACATCAATCACGTGAATGAGCAAAGGTGTTTAACCAATGGTGAACATATACCCTGATAATGGCTTGGGGTGTCGAGGTGAACGGACGTGCTTTTGAGAGCTCTGCTCTTACTATATGATGTAATCACGAATTTGAACTCGAGGAGCTACATGACTCTGTGTCTACAGAATGTAATTCTACACTTGTGGATTATAATATTCATGGATTACGATATGGATGGACTTATTGTCTGAGGTAAATACAACTTTTCCCTCTATACGTGAGCTTACCATGGCCGACATGAACTCTTCACAGTATTATCAAACACAGAACCCTGATCCATTGGATTATAATATTTTGAATGAACTTAATGACATTATAGGTGTTAATGACAGGAAAACGTGTGAACAAAAGCTGGTCGATTCATATGTCGATGATGATGAAGGTTTGAACCATATCAGACAAGCTATATATGATATTGCTAAAACTGAGTGTCGGGGATTTTCCGGAGGGAACTCTTGTGAAGAGGGTGAAAAGAAATGGCCAGTCAAAGTCAATTGCAGAAAAGTATGCATCTGACGTGTATCTACTGTATAAGTTCTACAAGGGAGCTATACAGTCACATGTTATACAGACTGAAGTTCTGAGCAGGGCTAAGTCGGTCCAGCCCAAAGTTCAACATGAATTAAGTGATATGGATAAAGATATTGCCTCGCAAATGCTATCTAAGATGATGTGTATTCATGAAGATATGATAAAGAAGTTTGAGTCTGTATGTAAACAATTAGAAACCTTTGAGGAAAAATATGATAGAGACATGATGCAGCTGATTGAAGCCTATGATAGAAAAATCTGACGAGGTCAAGTGTTGTAAAGAAGAGATAACTTCTCTTTGCCATAGTGAAAAAAAAACTCTCAAGTCAGAAGCTGTGAAATTACGCAATCAGATAAAGCAGAAAGACTTAGAACTGAAAGACACAAAAGATAGCCTAAATTCAAAGCTCAACTCCATTGAAAAGTGCGTACGAGCAGTTGAGGGCAAAATGGATTGCGTAAGTACAAGGCACAAGCTACTGTATTCAGAGGCCCTCAAGGATACAAGCACTGATGTAACCACGCCAAGCAAGACGACAATGGAGCCCAGGGATAGTCAATCAAGCCCTGTCAGCACACCCCAGCCATTCAATGATGACGTCACAGCGGAGACCCAGACAAGCTATGATATCAACCCTCCTGTGGACACTGGTACAGTAGATTACGTCACTAACAACCAGTACTCCTCACACACGAGACGAAACCAATCAACAGACAGAAGAAACGTAACTTTCACTAACCACTGGAAAAAGTGTTTCTCAGGAGTATCCAGAAATAGAAACAAACGGTTTGTACTGAGTTATGTTCGTGCTGATGAACCTTACGAAGTCGTTAAAGACGCCATCTGTGAATATGCCAAAGAACGTGGCGTTAACGTCTCCAATACCAGGCTGATGAAACATTGGGAAGGGGGACGTAATCCAACATACACCATCAGAATAACAGTGTCAAGACGATGTGCGGATATTATATATGACGACGAGTGCTTCTGGCCCGAAAACGTAAACTGCAGGGACTGGATTCCAAACAGCGATTGGTACACTGACGACATTTCTGAAAAGCCAAGACAATGAAGCACACAAGTAGGGCGTGGTGTGGAGTTGTGTATATTCTCATGGCAGCTTTCAGTGTAATAACGTGGAATGTACGGGGTGCTAGTAACTGTTTGCCCCATCTCAAAACAAAGCTCGATGGCTGTGATGCTCTATTCATTAACGAACATTGGATGAATAAGTCTGAAATATCAACACTGCTCGATCTACATGACTCTTTTTAGTGTATACTATAAGTGTAGAACTGACCATTCGTCACAGAGAGGAGCAGGTGGTGTTGCTCTGTTTATCCGGAAAACATTAAACAGCTCTGTGCTCTACGTATCAGAGAGTGAAAACATCCTTGGTGCAAAGGTGACTATTAACGGAGCACAACATTTATAATTGGCACCCGACTTCCGTCCACAAACGTGCTTGATTCTCGGTATTGTGAAGAACTGTATAATACCTTTGATCTATATGACAAGTGCGCTCAAGAAGCAGAGACAATATTAGTTGGCGATTTTAATGCTGACATAAGACACTGTGTTGACTCAAAGCGTAGAGCTAGGTATCTAAATAGGGTTCTAACAGAACGAAACCTTGTATCTGTTATACCTCTGGATGATAGTAATGTTTTTACTTATTCCAACAAGTGTAAAACACAAAGAAGTTTGATTGACTACGTCTTCATAGACTGTGATCTCAGAAATAGGGTACTGGGTTATGCTGTTGACAATAACATAAGCTATGCTGTATCCGACCATTTTCCTATCCTCACGGTGTTTCGTAGTGAAACTCCTACATACAGCCTATACTGGTGGTATACATCTAAATTGGCGAAAAGCCAATCAAGTAGATCTCTCATTGTATCGGTATGAAACTGAAAACTATTTTAGAAATGTTGAATTCGAATGCTCCCAGTATACATCTCCAGAAGAATACATCGAAGCTCATTATGCATATTTAACCCAATCTCTCCATTCTGCAGCAAATATAAGTATCCCTTCCTCTCGTTACCAGGCAAACTTGAAACCATATTGGAAAAAAGATAATTTGAAAGACCTACATAATACAATGAGAAATTGTCGCAATGAATGGATCCGTAATGGTAAAATCCATGATAAAGAGAATAGTTACTACATTGCATATAAAGAAGCAAAACGTATTTTCCGAAAACGACATCGTCAATCAAAGAAACATGAGGATGATCTTAAATTCAAAAGAATTTATGAGGCTTCTGAACTAGGTATACAAGAGTACTTTAAAGCTACCAAAATATACAAACGTAAAAAAGAATACACTCAAGTTCTCACTTACGAAAACACATCTTGTAATACTCAGGAAGGTATATGTGACCTATTTGCTAAATATTTCAGAGACCTATCTCTACCATGTACAGATGTTAATTTTGATTCAGATCTTACTGATTATGTAAATAACTTTGTATCTCAACTTGATAATACTCATGATGACTGTGATGATGTTTCTACACTGCTTCAGTGTCCTTTTACGTTTGATGAACTGTTATGCACTATTCGGCGACTTAAGAACGGCAAATCACCTGGACCTGATGGTATTGTTAATGAACACTTAAAGTACGCCGGTAGATCTGTTATTAATCACCTAGTAGCACTTTACAATGCTATTGTTCATTATGAATATCTACCTTGTGGTTTTAATGTTGGTACCATACTTCCCATACACAAAGGAAAAGGTAAAAGCACATGCGACCCTTCAAATTACCGGGGAATAACTTTAACTCCTATTGTCAGCAAATTATTCGAAAGAGTCATCTTAGAAAGAATAGAAAATTGGTGTTGCCACAGTAAACCTTTCCCGCACAAGTATCAATTTGGATTCCGTAAAGGTGCTGGCGCTGAAACAGCTGCATTAACACTGTTAGAAAGTATAGCTTATTACAGGGAAAGAAACTCACCAGTGTATTGTGTCTTTCTAGACAACGAGAAGGCCTTTGATAGAATATGGCTTAATGGATTATTTTATAAACTCCATCACTTTGGTATAAATGGTAAACTGTGGCGTATCTTACGTACTAAATATACTTCAATGCAGTCTTGTGTTAAAATAGGGGGAGTTGCATCTGCTCCATTTCCTGTAAAACAAGGTGTTGGTCAAGGATGTGTTTTGTCAGCTTGGTTATTTTCATTGTATATTAATGACCTATTATACGCACTAGAATCATTACAACACGGTTTAAGTCTTCCATGGGGTAATGTGCCAGGTATCTTATTAGCAGATGACACAACTATTGTAAGTGGAGCCATAGATGGCCTACAGTGTGCACTAAATGTGTGTTTTGAGTACTCTTGCAAATGGCATCTTAAATATAATGCCGACAAAAGTGTATTCTTATTGTTTGGTAATACCCAAAACATACATGTCCATCATTTTACATTGGGGAGAAGATTGTAACTCAAAAGATCTTGTTGTGTATGCTGGCTTGTACATAACCACTGCATCTTCAACTTTAGTGCGTACTCAAAATCATGTGATAAACTTAGAATGTTAGTCAACACAAATCGCTGCAATGGTTTGTTCTTTGGTGGTCTAAACCCCATGTCTGCTTGTGGAGTCTGGAACAGAGTTATGTTACCATGTGCCCTGTTTGCTTGTGAATTATGGTGTAAACTAACATCTAAAGAGTATGAAATACTTGAACGAGCTCAATCTTTCTTCTGTAAACACATCCAGGGGGGCTCTCTAAATGTTCTTCGACAGTTGTCGCACGAGACTGTTTAAATTTACTATCAGTCCAAGCATACATAGAAAAACGTTGTCTTATGTTCCTTGGCAAATTATGTAGAGGTAATTTAAACTTTGTATTCAAGAATGTCTTAAACTTTAAACTTAGTCAATTCTTACTTGACTCATGTTATGAAAGAGAAGCTAAAAGTACAAAATCCCCTATCTACCATATGCTACTATTAACATATAAATACGACCTGACAGGTTATGTAAATACATACATTGTGTCTGCCAGCTTTCCTAATAAAGCACAATGGAATGTCCATGTTACGAAAACAATTCATGATGCTGAAAATATCCATATATGTAAAGAGTTAACGTCAAGGGAAAATCAACATAGATACTATTCAGTGCGAGACCAGAATATACATAGATTATGGCAAATGTCGATCCTACGACCTGATCTATTTCACTGTATTGCAAACTTGGTGCAAATTAGTACTCTGCGTATCCAATCAAAAGAGTGTATATGTGGCACATTTGCCTACGATATTGTCAAACATGTTTTTATGTACTGCGAGCTGACAAGCCGTCAGAGAGATCTTCTTATCGAATCAATTATTGACAGAGTAGATGTAAATACGTTTTCTAGCCTTTGGAACAATGATGAAGAATTGATTCTATGTTTCTTACTCGGAGGACTTCCAACGGAATATTGTCTATCCCTTGATGATAATGTATGGCTTGAATGTATGACCAATGTATGTACAACTGTTAACAACTGGAAACATTTCTTTGTAAACTGTTTGTAACTATCTGTATTCCCCTGTTTCTGATCTGCATGTCAATATATCATATCACATTGTATCTTCATTCACTGGAGGAAATAAAGAATATCTATCTATCTATACAAATTGTGTAATTCATGTTTAGATCACAGGTTAAGATCATCATGGACAGGTGTTTCA